TCGAACGGAGGTTTAATTTGAAAGATATTATATATTTTCAGTCGTGGCTCAAGGGAAAGTTAGGGTTTTCTATTATTTTGGTGACACGAATTGTTTGAGAATGGATTGAACGAAAAGAACAACCTCAACACATATGTTTTGGCTCTGATACCATGATAACATATAATTTAATCTATAGAATCAAACACATATAGAGAATCAAAGAAAAGGAAGAAGAAGAGAAAAACAATTGAGCTACTTAAGGAATTAGGGTTTACAATGATTTAATATATTACAAAGAGACCTAAGCTAGTAAGGAAACTAAGCTAATAAGGAAATGAAATATTAATTAAATAATTAAACAAATAAATATATTATCAATTCCTTCACTCAAAGTGCTTATCTATGCCTTGATCACACTTTCTCCCACAAACCATTTTTTTTTTTGTACGAAATATCATTAATATACAGTGAAAAAATAATACACAATACAAAAGTTGAACCTACTTTGTAGACTTTTATTTGCCTTTATTAGACTGTTGGAAATTGGTTGGAAGCATTTACTCTCACCTAGTCAAGTCTATTGATGTCATTACCCTTTATTTGAGACTCTTTAAAATTTTAATATATTTTTCTCTATTTTATTTTCAATCACAAATTTTTCAATAAAATAATATTATACGCAAGTCAAATTTTTATTTTTTTATTTTTTAACTACATATTCTAAAAAAATATATATATACTATTGCATAATACATTTTATCAAAAACTTTCTCTTTTTAATGAGCTCAAACAAGGACACAATAAAATGTCAAGGGCAATTTTGAAAAATGATGCGGAGCTCTCCATAGAAAAGTAAAAAAATGACAGTGATCTTGATAAGAATGATGCAACAAATTTAGCCCAATTTGGTGGAGATTAAAATCAAATTTTTAGTAGATTTTATGTATTGTTAAACTTATTTATTGACTTTAACTTAGATCAAAATTTTAATCAATACCAAACAGGGACTAAGTGGAAGTTTCCATTTTTAATGTATCAGCCCAGCAAAAAATAAAAAAATAAAAATTGTTATGTTCCCCCCACCCCACGTAGCACGATTTGTTCGAGTGTGAAAGCAGAGAATTTATATATTTTGGTAGTACATCATAACTTTAGATGCATTTGAAGAAGCAACCAAGAAGACGGTCTGTGGATGCAGTGGTCAACAATCCTAGCCCTTGTTTGAGCCTCTTTCTTTCAGAAAAATTCATTTTTCAACAGTATTTTGACATCATTTCAACCACACATTTTTCAATAAAATAATATTACACGCAAATCTAAAACTTTTCTTTATTTTTTAACCACATATTTCTCATCAATACACTATTCAAAAATTCATTCTTCCCAAAAAAATAGGGCTCAAATAAGGGCCTAATCTTTTGTATGGTATGATATGAACGTGTCTTCTTCTTCGTGGACGTACTTTGAAATAGGAGGAAGAATCCAATAACTGACAGAGAATAAATTATGGATAATGAACATGCTTACCTTTTTTACAAAAAGTCAAAGTTGAATGCAAATCCAATGAAATACTTTTTATTTTTCAACTGGAACTTGATTCTAAAAATAAAAAAAATAAAAAAAATTGAGATCAATTTCATTAGATGTATTAGAAAATTTATTTCCTATAACACAAAGGCAAAAAATGTGTTTGTTTTTACAAAAGAAGCCATATTCTAGAATTTTAAGCCAATCTTCTACCATGTTTAACAGTGAACATCCTCTAACATTGGAGTAAATATCCAATTTATATTTGTAATAAAGCTTTTTTGTAGGCATTTGTCATTCTATCCATGTTTGTTGTCACAGTAAAAATACATCAACAACCACGATGGAATTTTACACCTCCGGCTAGGAGGACATGATTTAAGGCATGTTAATCAGATACTTTAGATCATTCTCAAAGAATAATTTAGTTTGCACCATGAACAATAAAGATGTCCACCTAATTTCCCACAGGAGATCAAAAACTTGCTTTAATTAAAGGACTAGTGGCACTAAAATTGTTCCCATCAAATTTGGTTAAGTATTTTTGGGTTTTGTTAACTAAGAGTGTGTTTGATTGACATGGAAAATATCACCTAGAAAAGAAAATATTTTTTATCTTTTGTGGAAAATAAAAACCACCTCTACCCAAGGAAAATGTTTTCCTTAAAAACAAGGAAAATTAGGCATATTTTCAAAAGTTGAAAAATGTTTTCCATGAAAAAAAATAGCAATCAAACACTTCAAGTAAGAATTTGAGGTGGGAAACTGATATTTTCCATAGAAAATAAATGTAATCAAACACACCCTAAATGTTTAAAGTTGGTTGGAAAAGTGACGCTGCGGGAAACAATGAATTCAAACTAAAATCTTAAGAATACAATTTTTGGAATCTACCAAATTATGAAGAAAATAAACGTACGAAATTTTATTAATGTAAGATGTCCAATTGAATAATTAACCCTTTATTTATAAGGGTTCACATAAAAACTTAGTTCAAAAGAACTCAAATTGAAAAGAATTTGAAATAAACTAAATGTCAAAAATAACATTAAAATTTTAAAAGCAGCTTTAGAGTCCAGAACAGACTCGGATGGCTAAAATCCATAATATGTTCAGTCCGGCTTGTCCTTCTCCTTTTGAAATGGTATTATGGGTCCAAATCGGAGCTCAAACATCAAATTTGCAATTTACTATTTTCATTGTTTTTCCCTTTTATATCCAACCGTTCCTCAAATTCATTCAGTCATATATTCTACAGAAAGGAATTTGATTCTATTTGCATTTTGACAAAGTAAAGAAAAGAAAGAATAATTTGGAAAGTGGGTTGCAATCAATGTAATGGGTGCGAAGCTTTTAATGAAGAGGGGTAAGGTTGGGTGGGTTTGCAGGTGTCCATAACTGCAGAATTCATTGCCACATTTGAAGATAGCTAGGAGAAATTTCTTAGTAGCCAAGTTTGAGTAATTATTTACCACAATTTTTCATTATCTTCATTTACATGACTGTCATAAATTCATAAGCAATTACTTTGCAGTGATTTACACGAAGTGTCAATGCAATACCATTATTCAAGAAACCACTCATTCAAAAATCAGTTCTTTTAATAAAACAAATTCCAATTGCTTATGATAGCCTTTAATCTTGTTGGTGCCCGAACTCAAATTCACCTTGGGCCCATCTCAAATGGGATTAGAAAGGAGTTCAAGAGAAAAATGTCAAACGTATCAAGAGGTCAAACTAAAAGCTTTTCCAAAGGAGCTCGGCCAAGCACTATTGTCAATTGGAAACATGATCAATACCACCGTACGAAGATGCCTTCCAATGATATCACCACCTCCTAAGCAATCACTCCTTAACTAACAAATGTCATCTCTAATATTCGAACCTCTCCATCAACCAAATGAGAAGAAAATAATTATTGCCTCGATAATATGCAATCACGACCTAGGCTGAACTCAACAAACAATCAAACCTTCAATAAAGGAAGTGGCACACAAATTGAGATTGGTATTGTTGCTAATGTGACAATCTACGGCAAAATAATTGGTTCAAATGCTTATAGATTGGAACAATGGTCTCCTCCAAAAGGATAAACTCAACGAATAACTTGTAACCCAGTTAAAGCTGTTTCAACAAGAACTATTCCTTTTATTTTACCATATTCCACTCATTGGTGGACCGATATTTTTGTTGTGAAATATGCTCAACTGATCTCAAGTTTTGAGATGGTGGGCTAGATTGTGAGAACCATAGCAATTCTTTGGTCATCTATTCTCATCGACCGAGTAAAAGTGGTGGTATTATTCGTGTTCGTATTTTAGCTGTTGTTTGGCTTAGCTAAAAAATTTGATTAAATTTTAAGATAAACCCATCTGGCCCCATTTTTTCAAATTAAAATGGGTGGAATAGTATCTTTTTGAAAAAGAAGTGATTGAAAAAGAAGGAGAAATTTCGATTTACATATAATATTATTTTATATAAGATTGTGTGATTGAAAATAGGAAAGAGAAAAATGACAATTAATTTAATAATGGCCAAACAGGGGCAAAATGAACAATTATTTTTAATTATATTTTATGGGATCTACAACTTTTCAAACCACAAATTCCATTAATTTTATCAAAATCTACAATATATATATATATATAACAATGTCGGAGAAACCCATTGCCCTACAAAAAATGAGTTCAAGTCGATGCTAACGGATATGAGTCGGCGACATGTTTGGCACTTATAAATTAGAAAAGAAAATGGACATGCCATATGGCATTTTCAACACCTTTCGGAGTTGTGTCGATGTTTGACACGTGTTAGACATGCCCATAATGAGTATTTGCATCACTGTATGTCGGAATGTTGACTTTGGTCTTTGACCAGTTCCATCGCATGTGATACGTACAACAACTTCGATAATAAAATATAATTTTGTTCAAAAACTATACTTATCTAACATCCATAGATGAATGAGAGTATTGGTTTGTTATCCTCACTAAAGCCTCCATTTGGGAAAAAATTATGAATAAATAGAAATGAGGGATGTAAGTGGATACTATTTGCAAATATATAAATCATTTATTTATTAGCCAAACGGAGGCTATTAAACATCGAATTTGTAACATTCCACTAACATCACATAAACTCCTTTTCCACTTAATCTTGTGTTTACGTCCCAGTCGAGATATTGGAGATGGCTTATGCTGCTACACTTTCACTTACTCAAAGGCTAGAGCAGATCTTGAATCCTGATGATCAACGTCCGACTCTTCTTCATCAAACAGACTCACAGATGTTAAGATCTCTCGATGAAAATCTTAGCTTCTTGTTATCCTTTCTGGAAGAAGATTCTGGAGAGAAAAATAGAGAAGCATTTGAATGTTTAGAAGGAAGAATCAGAGATGCGGTGTATGAAGCAGAAGATATAGTTGAATCCCATTTATCCAATCAGATTCGATTAGGATCTAGAATTCAAATGGATCAAAATTGAACCCAATATGTTGAGTCAAGTCATCTCAGAATTGCAGCAAGAATATGAGGGCCTACAGAAGATTATAAAAGAACTCAGTTTCATTTCAGAAGAGATGGTGAAGAGGAAGCGCATGAACCACAAAAAAGATCTACATCTAAGTAAAACTTTGCCTGTTGATTCATCAAAATCTAGTTCCAGTATCAAGAGTGGTATGGTTGGATTTGATGATGAGTTGATTCAAAGTAAGGATCGACTCACTGGATCATCCACAAAACTTGAAATCATTTCAATTGTTGGAATGGAAGGTATTGGTAAAACTAGACTAGCTGAAAATATTTATGATGACTCACTTATTGTGAAACGCTTCCACACTCGTGCTTGGATAAGGGTATCTCAAAATTATCATGTACAAGAAATGCTCATTAGTGTTCTATACTCAAGAAGAAACCTTAGTCATGAATCATATGAAAATGATACTGAAAAACTGGGTGAGCAATTATACAAAACTGTGAAGGGAAACAGATATCTCATTGTAATGGATGACGTGTGGGACACCAAGGTATGGGATGAAGTCCAAAGGTTTTTTTCCGATGACAACAATAGCAGTCGGATCATATTGACTACTCCAAAGTTATATGTGGCTCTTTATGCCAACTCTTCCAGCCCTATTTGCCATCTGAGTTTATTAAGTTCCATACAAAGTTGGGAATTGTTGCGTCACCTGGTATTTGGGAAACAATGTCATCCTCCTGAATTCGAGGAAATTGGAATGGCCATTGCAAATAATTACAGAGGACGTCCACTTTCAGTCTCAGTTATTGGTGGCCTCCTCTACAGAAGCAAGAGGACAGTTGATCATTGGATACAGGTAAAACGAAATATCAACTCTGTAGTAACTGGCCCGGAGGACCAAATCATGGAGATCCTATCATTGAGTTATAATGACTTGCTGTATCATCCGAGATCATGTTTCCTTTATATGGGAGCTTTCCTTGAAGATCGTCAGATCCAAATACCCAAACTCATCAAGCTATGGGTTGCCAAGGGATTTGTTAAGCCAATTGGTTCTAAAAGCTTGAAAGCAATAGTTGAGACATATTTGGAAGATCTTATTGATAGAAATATGGTTCTCATTCTTAAGAGAACTTTTACTGGTAAAATCAAAGCCTGTGGCCTCCATGATCTCATGCGAGACTTCTATGTAAGGAAAGCTCAGGACGAGAAGTTTCTTCAGGTCATGGATCCACATGTTGAGTTCTCTCGCATAAGTATCCATTCAGATATTTATAATCACTTTCCAGAAATTTGCCTCCCCTGTTCGATCTTTTCTACAATTCCATATCCAAATGACGGGTACGAGAAACATTTTTATTCCCTTCCCACTGCTAAGGGTATTGAATGCATCCAACCTAATGTTGCCGAGGTTCCCAGTCGAAGTAATAGAACTGGTTAATTTGAGGCACTTGGCTTTATTCCCCAATGTTGATATGCTTCCTGGGTCAATATCCAACCTCTTAAATCTTCAAACATTAATTATTCAATGCCTTAACTGTAAGTGTTATGCCTTAAGTGCAATCAATTTTGGACATAAATACTTTTAATATATAATTAATGCAATTTTATGGCAGATCTATTATTTAATTAATATTCAATGAATTAAATAATGGAGTCCGTAGATTCAAATCTTAGTAATTTGTTAATCACAAGGAGTTGTAATTGTGAGATACAAATTACATATGATTGAATCTTAAATCATCCGTGGTCGTAAGTAATGACTAGATACGGATATCGTTATTACAGATAGACCATCACGTGTGACATTTCTTACTGATGAAGTAAGTAGTTGATCTCACAAGTTAAAGTGTGGTGATACTTAAATGAACACGTGGATGTTTTGTTATAAAACAAAACATTGGAGACCCGCTGAGAGATTCCACATGGATAACTATCTGAATGTCAGTGGATAATCTCTAACATTTGGTAATGATATTGGTCCTTTGACTTGAGGTCATCATGGTACCTTATATAAGGACGGTCATACTTTGACGGTGTTGGATGTTACTTTGCCGAGGGCTGCTAATACTGTATCGTTCGGGTATGTCAATAATCGTATGAAGGTCGTGAATGACCAAAAGAGGATTCGTTACTCTTAGATAGTAAGAGATTATGATCTACGTTTCATTCAATTGAGTCGATAACAAAATCTTTGGCCAAGGTGTACTGAGAAGTAGAGAAGAAGTCTTCGACTTTTATTGACTTAATAGTGGAATGAAAGATATGATCAATAATCGGATTGACACACTTCCATATCTGTAATTGATCGGATCATATTGACGAAGGGATTATAGTTTCACGGTAAACGAATGAGTTTGGTTGTCATACTACATGACATTTCTCGTCACATGTATTTCTCTAACACATTGCTACATGTCAATCAGGGACAACGAGTGTGAATTGGTGATAAATTAAAAGGGTGTTTTAATTTATCAATTTTGATTAGATCAAAGCAATATTTCACGTCGTTAGAGATCGTGATTGGGAACTTGATGGATCGCACACAAAAGGAGAACTGAAAGATTGTAATTTGTTAATTAATTAATTTAACAAGCGTTAGATAAATTAATTAATTGGATTGCTTATTTTTAGGCCCGAATTAATTAATTGAATTAATTAATTCACGGACCGAATTTAATTAAATAAGTTAATAAAATATTGGACCGTGTCAGGCCAACCCCGTTTGGGCTTATATAAATATGACTATAATTTTCAAAATCTGTAGATAATTAATTCTTGCTAGCACTAGAGAAGAAAAATATAATCCTACAATTTTGTTCTCTATATGGATCATCGTTGGAGGTTGGACAATTGGACAACTGTGGGTGACAGATCGAAGTTGCTAAAACAAAAGGAAAAGCAAAAAGTTTGCAAAATCTTTCAAAAGGTACAAATTTCTATTACAATTTCTATCTAAACACAGAGGAATCCTTGGCGGGAATCGAAATTCGTTTTTATTTCCGCTGAGCATGATAAGTAGATTCCCATCATTAACATTGTAAACCTACTGTTCACGAAATAATTCTTTCGATTTAAAACTACCGCAAGTATACGGATCGTAACAAGTAATAAAGTGGATTTTTTAAAAGTCCGAATATCGTCCCTCAGAGATTGAGTAGTTCAATTCTATATAATCTAACCTTAACCAAATCTAATTGAGTGAAAATATGGTCCAAATGCAAAAAACCTTAATTTCAATTAAAAACCCTAATTTCTCAATTAGAAACCCTAATTTCGAAATTTTTCTAATTAAAAGACTCAAACACTCAAGTAAATGAAATTATGCAAATTCAAAAGCTAATTTATGGAAATGAATCAAAATAAAGTCATTAGGATCACGAATCCCCAATTGAAGTTATAAAAACCTTAATTTCATAAAATCAATGACCCGATGGAAATTTGCTAATTCAATGTTCCTAATCCTATCCAATATATTCTCTCGATATATATTAGACCTATTCTTGCACACCACCAGCCTATATCTCTATGGATGATGCAAATATACAAAAAATACATGTGATTTTGTGAACAATTAAAGAATTGCATAAAGCATAGGAGTATATCTCTATCCCCTATCGGACCCTATGTTGATTTACACCTTATCGAACCTATTCCACTTCTCTCGAATGTAAGAAATAAGTCATCAACACTCACACAATCATTGGCCACTAATTGCGGAAGAAAATCAATGCATATAAACCAATCAAATTATCCAAATGAGTCTTTATATTAAATTCATGAAATATGGAATTAAAATAACAAACAATGGTTCATCGATCACCTAGTAATTGAAAACCTAGCCTAGAATATTCATAATTACAGAAGAAAAACAAATTTAATAAATAGAAAGAATAGCACCCGTATGAAAATTTCTTGAAATCTTGAATAAAGCCTTGAAAACCCGCTTGAATTCTTGTGGAATTGGCTTCAAGATCGTGTTTCTTGCCTCCAAAAGTTATATTTTTCTTCTCCCTGGACGTTCTACCCTATTTCTGATGAATTTTGGCTTTTATATCATATCCTCACGGAGCCCCGAAAGAGTTTCAATTAAAAACGCAACTTCAGAATTTTCTATGATTTTTAAAACCATGCGGCCACATGGTGTTAAACCATGCGACCACATGGTTCAAATGATCTACCTCATTAAATCCCTGCATCCTTATGTGTGGCCGCATGGTATAGTTCTGTGCGGCCGCATGGTTGTAACTTTACAACCTTGCTGTTTTGGTCCCTGAATTCCGTTTTCTCTCTTCTTGATCTCCTTTCTTTCTTTACTTTGTTCCATTATCAAATATTGACTCCTAATTGATGTTTGGGTCAATCAATTCCTTGACCACTTGCTCGGCTCATCTTTTGATTAATTGTAATTTAGTCCTTCATCTTTCACTTTTCTTCAATTCAGTCCAATGTTACTTCTTTCTTCCTTCGATCGTCTTATATCATCCTCAATCTCATACTTGGCATATTTTCATTCTCGTTCTGCACTTTAGCTCAACTTTCCAATATTTGCACCTTTGGTCCCCGAACTATCGCTTTGTTCCGTTTTGGTATTTTTTCGTTTCTTTTCTTTTGAATTCCATTTTTTCCATAGAAACACCTACATTGCATGAATTTAACGAGATTAAGTCACAATTCAACTATTTTGTCCATGTTTAAGTCATGTTTGTGAGCTAAATAAGTGTGTAAAAACACACTTATCACCTACCATCGGAAATATGGATGATGCCACAATTAAGGCATATCTTGACAGGTTCGTGCTTCTTGCCTTATCCTTCTCGTGCACAAATCGGGAAAAAAAATGTTTTACTGGAAAACCTGCAAACACTTGAGGGTGTAAAAAATTTCAGATTTACCAAAGAGGTCCTTCAGATAATGCCACACCTTAAGAAATCGGCAATCAGATATGACGCACACGCTGAGTTGTCATCATATTGTCTTGAAAATATTTTTATCCATCTACATCAACTTGAAGATTTGAAGTGCTTCTTTGATTACCAGTATGATCCTCTGCCAGAGAACTTTGCTCTTGCAGCGAGACTCGAAAACTTAACACTATCTCGTTGCAGATTATCTCCGAAAAACATGGCAGGTCTTGGTTCATTGCCCAATCTTGAATGGCTCAAACTGAAAAACTTATTGTTTGATGACAGTGCGTGGGAACCAAGTGAAGGGGAATTCCCAAAACTAAAATTCCTGCTCCTTTGGAGCATAGATCTGGAGAGCTAGAAAGCTAATGAAACACATTTTCCAAATCTTCAGCGCCTGTATCTCGGGGAGTGCACATTGCTGGTGGAGGTCCCTTCTGGAGTTGGGGGAATTCTAACTCTTCAGGAAATAATATATTTCCGTTGTCCCTCTGCTGTGATTTCATTAGAGTCAATACAAAAGGATCAAGAATACCTGGGAAACTACGACCTTCGTATTACTTACGACTCCCGAAAAGAAAATATATAAGGTATATTCCGAACACGTATTAATCTAGCTCTTCACCAAGTATATCAGCTTACTATGTTTATTTTCCATGTTGTTTATTGATAAGTGTTTCGCTTATTAGTGCTTTTATACTTGTTATATATTTGCAAATCGACCGTATTTCTAGATAATTTAGTTTAAATATTGTCTTTGCAGAAAAAATCGGAACTTGCAGTCGCTTTGAGCAAAACAATGGATTTTGATCCTGATTTGGTTTAGCTAGTAGTAAGTGATGAAGACTCTGAAAGCGACATATTTATCAAAAAAAGGCATAAGGAGAAGTCTATAGTCACAGGGTAATCACTTTCCTTTCGTTTATTTTTTATGGATTCGAATGTAAAAAAAGACATAAATTCTTCATACGAAGGATTTTCTGTTCAAACTTTGTTGCAAAATGTAAACCGCACTCAAGGGACATAGGACCAAGTTTGCACTTGCCATTGACATAATCATGCATACTGTTTTGTTTGTTCATTAGAATCTGAAATAAAGTAATTATATTATTATTAACTTAATTATCAAAAATTATTGTTAACTAATTGTTGGGTAGGGTCATTAATTAATTGGATTAATTAGCATGTTTTTAACTTGAGTGACATGTTAATTTCTTTCTGAATGAGGGTATTGTACTTTTGGTAATGGCAAGAAATCGCGGAACATCTCTATGATTCGTGATCGGGTTGAACTAAATTTGGACCTTTGTGGTGAAGATCAAGATTCGACCTCTCTATTCATATGAATCTTTGTGGTGAAATCTTTTCCATTTCCTATCGGAATTGTATTGTATTGTCCAGAACATTGTTGAAGTTGCTGCTCCTATTTGTGAACACTGGCAAGAACATTGTATTTTCCATTGTATACTTTTTCTTTCTTTCTTATTTGTTCGCATATGTAATAATTTTTTTCTATCTGACATTTCTTCTTTAA